ATATATATATATATATATATATATACACGTTATTAATGTGAAGTATTTATTGATTTTGTGGATGATTATCACTAAAAACTTCAACTCTCCATTTTTGTTAAAATCTCATATTTCAATTACATTTTTTTTATTCATAATATCCAAGCATGAGATCATATTTTTTTTAAAAAAAATTGAATCATAATTTTACTTAAATTAATGACTTATTAATTTTTTTTTATAAAATATTTAATCATATACACGATCAACTATTGAACCAAATATTGAACATAATATACATGATATATGTTCTTTAACTATAAATCATGGTTTGGTCTTCAATTTAAGCATGAAGTTGTGACTAAAAGTACTATTCTAGCTTGATAACATTAATCTAGTAAGAATGAGTTATACCTTTTTATTAGACAAAAAATAATTAAATTATGTAATTTTTTAAATTATCAATAATTAAAAATAGTTTTATTGTATCTCTTCTAAAGTTTCTTTATATTACTCACACATCCTCTCTAATTTTTAAGTGAATACATTGATCTCTCTTATTTATTTATTTAAATAACACATATTTCTTTATAAAATAACAATAATTATACATTATTAATAAAAAAGAATTATTCAAATAACAGTGTGTACTTTAATCATTAAAAACTGTAGTAGTGTATTACAAAACACTACCCTAGCCACATGAAGTATCACTACCCATGCCCCAATATCTTCTTATTTTTATTTTTTTTTTATGCTATTTCGTTTACTTAGTTCATCCTACAATGGTGTAGTTACTTTTTCAACAAAATGAACCAAGAGATGCAGACATCCTATATTAGGCTTATCATACTCACAAGTCACAATTCTCTATTTTTGACTCCTTCACATGTAAAATACCAACAAAATAAAGAAAAAAAGTCACTAAATGAGTATGTAGTCCAGACATAGAGATATACTTTTTTCAAAAAAAAAAAATCAGAAACATATCATAACTAAGGGGTGAGATTTTTCTAAAAAAAAAAAAACTTAAAGAATCATGAACATAATGCAGAAATAAAGAATAAACACATATTAGTGTATTCTCAAATTCACTTCTATTTTCTTTTTCTTTTTCACATGTTATCATAGAAGAAATGAGTAGATTTTAAAAACTAGGTGAACAACATTTTTCTAAATTTTAATTATATAAATCGTGTTTCTGTTTAAACTAATATAATATGAAAGTATCTGTAAGGGGTATATTCAGCAGTTAGAAAACCAAATCAAACGCAAACTGCGTGAATATGAATGCTGTTTTCCTTCATAAATCAGCGGCTATTTTTTCTTTCTATGTTGTTGTTGAATAAAAATATGACTGTTAAATAGCTCTTACAGTTTCTGTACGAGTTCACTGCAAGCCCTTCCTGGCTTCCTTCAAGTCCCACATCTTCCCAAATAGGACTTCAATGTCTTTGTCAGTATTAAGGTTTAGGTTTCCAAAGTTTCTTCCTTTTTATGCAAATGCAAGCTTCCACTCTCAATCTCTCAATCACGACGATGCCGTTGCCTCATTCAATCGCATGCTCCATATGCATCCTTCCCCACCCATCTTCCATATTGGCCACATTTTGGGATCCCTCGTCAAGATGAAGCATTACCCAACTGCTATTTCCCTTTCCAAACAATTGGAATTCAAAGGTATTACACCAGACCTTGTTACTTTGAGCATCCTCATCAATTGCTTTTGCCACCTTGGTCACATCAATTTTGCCTTTTCTGTGTTCGCCAAGATTCTCAAAATGGGATATAAGCCAAATGCAATTACCTTCAATACACTCATCAAAGGCTTATGTCTTTGTGGTCAGCTTAGGAAAGCACTGCACTTTCATGATGACCTTAAAGCTCAAGGATTTCAGTTGGACCATGTTAGTTATGGGATTTTGATCAATGGTCTATGTAAATCAGGAGAAACAAAGGCTGGCATAGAGTTACTCAAATGGATTGAAGGGCATTCAATTAAGCCTGATGTGGTAATGTATAGCACAATCATTGACAGCTTATGCAAAAATAAACTTGTTACTGATGCCTATAATTTGTATTCTGAGATGCTTGTCAAAAAGATTTCTCCGAATGTTGTCACTTTCAATAGTTTTATGTATGGCTTTTGTGTTATGGATCATTTCAAAGAAGCAATTGCTTTGTTAAATGATATGAAATTGAAAAACATCAACCCAGATATTTATACCTTTAACATATTGGTTGATGCATTATGTAAGGAAGGAAAGATAAAGGAAGCTAAAATTGTGATAGCTTCAATGGTAAAAGCAGGTGTGGAACCTGATGTTATTACTTATAATACATTAATGAACGGATATTGCATGGTTAATGAAGTGAAAAAAGCAAAGCATGTATTCAACTCTATGTCCCAAATAGGAGTGGCACCTGATGTTTATAGCTATACTATCATGATTGATGGATTATGTAAGAAGAAAATGATAGATGAAGCCATCAATCTTTTTGAAGACATGCAACGCAAAAATATGATTCCTGATACAGTAACTTATAGTTCACTTATTAATGGTCTGTGCAAATCGGGGAGAATAAATGATGTTTGGGATCTTGTTGATGAGATGCACGATAGAGGTCAACCTGCCAATATAATTACCTACAATTCCTTATTGGATGCTTTATTCAAAAATGGTCATCTAGACACAGCAATTGCATTATTCAAAAAAATGATTAGTTGGAGAATTCAGCCAAATAAGTACACATACACAATACTTATTGATGGACTGTGCAAAGGTGGAAGACTTAAGAAAGCGCAAGAAGTTTTTCAGTATCTTTTGATTCAAGGTCATCATCTCAATGTCTCGACATATAGTGTTATGATCAATGCACTTTGTAAAGTGGAGTTGTTTGATGAAGCATTGGCCTTGCTGTCAATAATGGAAGACAATGATTGCATGCCTAATGCTATAACTTTTGAAATAATTATTTCTGCTCTATTTGAAAAAGACGAGAATGATAAGGCAGAGGAACTTCTCCGAGAAATGATTGCTAGAGGCTTATTGTAAGTGTTAAATCAGGTGAGATGCTTTCTAGTTACTAAAGAATAACTAGGTCATTTGATTTGTGACAAAAAATAGTTAGTCATTATTTCTCTTGATTCATATTAACTATACGTAACCTATTTTTAATCACTTATATATGCAAATGTGTTCCAATGAGTTGGCAGTCGGCTTCTCTGATCTGCCGATGGTTATTTCAATTTATTTTCATTCCAATTCCATCTAATGTGCTTCATCCTATGGATATGCAAACTGCACTATGATTTTCTCTTCTCTTCTCTATATTTGTTTGCAACTGTTCTCTCTCATTAATGAGTCTCTCACTCTCAACTCTAATTTGACCTTTCTCACGTTAAATAATACATAAATAACTTACACATTTGGGCCTATTTTTCACATATGAAGGGAACCCAAAACCCAAGGGTGAAAATTTTCAATTAGATCAACCTTGTCAAATTACAAAATGATCATGGCTTCTAGATTTGGGAGAGTTTCTTTTATGTATTGCTTTTGTTTTTTAATTTTAAGAGTTGGAACGTGAAAGGGTAATGATGTGCTTGTGTTATATTTTTGTATCAATTGATCCTTCAAGAAGGAAACGAAAGTTGATTCTTTGTGCTCTATGAGTGAGTTGGATATTGAATTTGAAGTTTGTAATGAGTGAATACAAAAAGTAAATTAGTTCTATGTATAAATGTTCATATTGTTTATGTGATGCAGTTTGGTTGTTTCTACGTGTGTATTGTTAGTTATCCATGTGAGCTAAGAGATCAACATTGTGCAATTTGCTCATGGAAATTCCCCCTTCACATTTTGTTTCCACCCAAATAAGTTTACAGAAACTTGTTCTGTTTTGTGAGTCTCAACAAGAACAAACTTTGAATGTCAAGTAACATATTATAGAGGGGGTAGCATTTCTGTTTTGGACTTGTTAATTCTTGAATGAACTAAGCGTGTTCATTTCTGTGATAAATCTTCTGATGCATTTTGTAATGTTGAACTAGGTTCCTCTGCCAGAGTAAAATTCTTTGGTGCAAGTGATATACCAAATGTGGAAAACCTTGATCTCCAGATGTATAGACAAATGGCTGAACTCCTCATATGCAAGCTCATAATATATTCACCACCACCAACCAACAGAACTACAAGTAGGACTGATTTCTTCCCTGTACTGTTTCCATAGTTTGTGTCTTTGTTTTTAATTTAAGGTACAAGGTTTGCATTTTATGTTAATTATGTTTTGGAAATATGATAGAAGAAGATACCAAACCCAGACTACACATTAGTCAGTGTGGCTTTACAAACTAATGTCTGTTTATTGTTTTTCAGTTTCATGGACAAATACAGAATCCAGCATTAGTTCCCTTTGCTTGTTATTTTATAATGTGTGGACTTGGAAAGCATAAGCTTGCACAAAATTTGATGAGTCCAACCAGATTACAGGGAGAGAGCAAAGCCTAATATATCCTGATGGCAACAAGCTCACAATAACACACAAGTATCAAACTAGTTTAATAAAATCAACTGAAATTCATTGAAAGAATATTAAATTAATAGTAAAACTAACATGATCACAAATGTATTAGGCTTCATCCGGAATTGCAATTATTTGTCCAGAATTTTACAACAATTGATTAATTTAATGATTCTTTCCAGAATTTGTTATCTAGGGAAATATCATCGGTGGTAAAGGAGAGAATATTAAATTTTAAAAGAGAGATAGAGAGTCTTTGAAATGTGAGGCTCTTGAAATAATCTGTAATTCGTGTGTAAAAAGAAAGGTTTTTTACAAGGAAAAAAGTGAAAGATGATGAATTTTAACCATGAAGCTACAACCCTGTCAAAATACTGTATGGTAAAAGCAAAATTGCTGATGTAGCAGTGTTATAACCTGCACTTTAAATTCAATATATTTTTATATAAATAGTGACTTTTGACAAGTTCAAATGGTGGTACAATTCTTATTAATTGGTTGCTCTTGTTTTAGCTTAATATGCATTGCATACACACAACTGCTAGTTGCGGGAACTGGATAGCATTGTTGTATATAAGAATTAACCGCAAACTCATGCATAGACTTGCTTAAAATATGACTTTTGATATGAATGGGAATCAATTGTTTGTAGTTTAATATTTAGGAATACATAGTTTATCTTGATGTAGTCTTGTTAATCATTTTATTCTAGATTTTAATTTTCTCATGTTTATGGCAGTTATTTTATAGTTCAGCAAGGACCAATAGTTCTATGTTTTTATATTAAACATGTTTATATATCTTATTTAGCTGTAATGGATATTTCATACTTTTTTCAAAAATTTGAACACTTTATCGATACGTATCACTAATAAATATTGGTAAAGTATCTGAAAGTATCAAAATTTAATAAATTTTTTATAATATTTTTAAAGGCTAGTAGGATACTTCATTAACATGTATCGGTGAAGTATCCAAGAGTATCGTGTCGGATACGTATCGGATACGAATACGTGAAGCAAATTGAAGTATCCGTGCTTTATAGGTTTTCATCTATTTCTGTAACTTAATCTGAATCTCTTTCCTATGTGATTTTATGCACAGCAGTATTTTTTTTAAATATAAAATTGTAAATTTATTGAGCTATTATATCACTGTTTCTTTACTTAATATAGTGAACTAACAAAGTAGGTGCAAAAATTATTGCACTTTCTTTGGTTTGCTTCTTATAGGTTGGTGAACTCACAGGTTTGTTAACATCTGATTTGGGTTCTCTTAAAGATATTGTCAGTGAGAATGTCTCAAGGGATCGTGGATTCAGGGCATTATCTGAGGCAAGCAACTCTACATCAATGAGAAGTGAGCTTTATATTTCCTATATTTAAGCATGTGTATGGTTCATTCCATTTTCACTTTGTTGGGTAGACTTTCCTTCATTTCTTGAGGAGTGGAATTTGTACCACAAATTTATTGTTTAATTCTTTTTTTCTCACTTATTTATACTCATGCATGTTTTAGTTTGCATTTTTCTGCCCACGTTCATTTGTGTGATTGCTTCTATTTTCTTTGTTCTTGTAGGTCATTGGAACAATATTCATACTTTTTTCTTTATCCCCACAACTGGCACCCATTCTGGGTGTTCTGATGCTTGCAGTTTCCATTTCAATCGGTAAGTTTTCATTGTATCTGATGATATCAATTCAATTCATTTTCAACATTGTCGTGGTCTATTATAAAATGCAGAAATATTATCACCTATCTTATTCACCCTTTCTTAAATGTAAGAGATTTAATAATTTCATAGGTAGCTTATATATGCAGGCTGAGAGTTGTATGTATCTTGAATTATAAATACATTGTGATAGTAATTTGTTAAAAAAAAATTGGGTCATGCTATTTGTCATTTCATGCATTCTTCCCTGATGCTAATTTTTTTGGTTCTCTGAAGCTGTCTACAAGAGATCTACTTTGCCGGTTTTTAAAGCACATGGGATGGCCCAAGCATCTATATCTGATTGTGTAACAGAAACATTTTCTGCTATTCGAACAGTGAGTTCCCAATAGTTTGTGTTCTATGACAAATATTTGTCTTATGTATTGCAATGGCCTGGTTTTATAATCCACAGCTGAAACAGTGGCATGCTTGCTTACAGGTAAGATCCTTTGGTGGTGAAAAGCGCCAAATGTTTTCATTTGCTAGCCAGGTAAGGTTATTTAAAGAAGGACCAATAGCTAATTTCATAAAGGGTGTGACATCCTCTAGATACTTTCATGTTAATTATTTGTTCCGTGCAGGTTCTATCTTTCCAATCAAGTGGGATAAAGCTTGCAAGTTTCAAATCTGCAAATGAATCCTTGACTAGAGTTGCTGTTTATATTTCTTTAACAGCATTATATGTTCTTGGAGGAAGCAAGGTTAAGGCGGTAAGCAATTCTAGCTTTTGAAACTTTTGTCTTTTCTCTATAATATTATGACAAATCTAGTAATGGTCTTTTCTTTCCTTTCCTTCTACAACAGATATTGACAATCATGACTGTTGCTACTTATTTGCATTCTTTCTTTTAAGTTCTGATATATTATCCTTATGATCATATACATCTTTCTCTTATTATTTTCTTACAAGAATTTTCTACCACTGAAATCATTCTTGAATATTTCTGAGTTGCTCTTAATTCTTGTTTAGGGCGAGCTCTCTGTTGGAACCATGGCATCTTTTATTGGATATACTTTCACTTTAACATTTGCTGTAAGCTAGTTGAGTTGTTGACCTTCTGTTTTACTTTATTTTATATTTTTCATCCTCTGTCCTATCTGATATTATGTCTTTTAGGTTCAAGGATTGGTTAATACTTTTGGAGATCTTCGTGGAACTTTGGCTGCTGTTGAGAGGATCAACTCTGTTTTGTCTGGAGCTCCAGTTGATGATGCCCTTGCTTATGGCTTAGAAAGAGAACTGAAACAAAAAACAATGGATGATGAAAGCTATAAATTGGTCTTATCTAATATTTCTACTGAGAATAACCAAAAGAATTATTTACATTACATGTCAGCTCTTAAAACATCAAGCAATTTGTGTAACTTAGCTTGGTCTGGAGATATTTGTCTTGAAGGTAGTTTTTTGAATTTTGTTTGTATCCCTTGTGATGTGTTGTCTTAATGCACGGCTTATTTAGTAATGTATACTTTTTTTTTCCTTCTCTTTCAATGACTATGCTCATATTATGCTGCAGACGTATATTTCTCTTATCCTTTAAGGCCAGATGTGGAAATCTTAAATGGCCTAAATTTAAGGCTAAAATGTGGAACTGTAACTGCTCTGGTGGGTCCTAGTGGTGCCGGAAAAAGTACAGTAGTACAGTTATTGTCTCGTTTTTATGAGGTTTGATTTCTGTTTCTTATGTTGTAAGATGAAATTTCATTGATTTTGTCTTGAAAATACATTCATCAAGTAAATTTTATTTCTGCAGCCTACAAGAGGTTGTATAACAGTTGCAGGAGAGGATGTCCGAACATTTGACAAAAGTGAATGGGCCCAGGTTGTCTCTATTGTAAATCAAGTAAGGAATAAGGAGAAAAAAAAAAAAGAATCTTCATGTTTGATATTAAACAATTGCTTCATTTATTTGTAAATAATACATATTACAGGAGCCTGTTCTGTTTTCGGTGTCTGTTGGAGAAAATATAGCATATGGGCTTCCAGATGAAGATGTTTCTAAAGAAGATGTGATTAAGGCAGCGAAAGCTGCAAATGCTCATGACTTTATAATTTCACTTCCACAAGTTGGTTTGTCTTCTAGGTATGCAGATGCTTTTATGTACTACAGTTATAATAGATAAGTTGTGTTCTTATTGTTCATCTTTTCTGGAAAGGGCTATGATACACTTGTTGGCGAGCGTGGAGGTCTACTGAGTGGAGGACAGAGACAGGTACAGTAGAGTTCACATATAAGACCCTTTTCCTTGGATGGCAATAGCATTTTACATGCGAACCCATTAGAAGGTTCTTGAGTCTTGGTTCTAAATTGCAGAGAATTGCTATTGCCCAAGCTCTCCTAAAGAATGCTCCTATCCTTATACTTGACGAGGTGCTGTTATTTGTTTAATATTGCAACCGTTTCTGCTGTATTATTGTTGCGTCACCACTACTTTCACCATATTTCTGTCATTCTCATTTAACTCGCTCAATGAATGTTTTATTTATAGGCAATTGTTAATATATTAACTTATATTTTTAGACAGAATACACTAACAATATACATTAAAATTTTAAGGGGGAAAAATACCATCTCTTTATTTTAATTAATTTATGAGTTATTACAGTAATTCAATATATAAATTAAAAAATAAATTGATTTCACTTTTCTCTCCTCAGCATTCAGCAGCTGCCTCAATCATGTTGCCACGAAAACCACGTCCTCAACCTTCCAATCATCTTACATTGTTTTCCTCCATTCAATAAAGGGAAATATTGTTGAGAAATTATTTTATAATTTAAAATTTAAATTAAATATTTAATCTAATTAATATTTGTTTTTTTTTTTTATACTCTAACGTTCCAAAAACTAAAGCAGTTGGGATTTTTCACTCTAACCAAGTCCACGTTTTGTTTCAAATTAGTTAGCACAAGTACGTCACTTATTTTACTGTTCCTGGAAAACTTGTAAAACAAATTTTAAAACTGGTGCACGTACTCTTATTGTTGAAAAAAGGTATTTAATAGTGCCTATATATATATATATCAGTAGGTGAGGAAAACAGATACGAAAAAAAATACACAACTTCATTTATTTTTCTCTCAAAATTATTTCTACTACTAAAATATTTTTGGAGTGGTATTTTTTGGTTCGAGGATCTTTCACTGCACTCGAACGATCTAACGGGTTGATGTATCTTGTGAGAGGAGCACATTCTAAGACTCAAAATTACCAATGCAATAGGGACGTTTTCTCTCTAAGGATAGCGCTCTGCGTGCTTCAATCCAGGCTACTCTAAACCTATTATTCAATATTTTAATTTGCTCTTTGTGTTTAATTAGTTGTTACTAATTGCTCTATTTTAATTTTATAATATTCATTGTGTTGTTGATATTGATTTTATTGATAAATCTAAATATTTATTTTCTTGTGTTCTATTTAATTTTCTAACAATCTTAGAGAGAAAAATTTTCCTTTCTTGTTCAATATCAACATGTCTGCAATGGATATTTTAAAGTCTGAGTAGTAAGCCAGGAAAATTTAATGGTGAAAATTTTTTATGTTGGCAACAACAGATGAAATTTTGGCTTACAGAGTTGAGTTTATTTTCTGTTATTTTAAATGGAAAATATGAAAATTGTCCTGATTGTGCCTTGGTTGAAGCTAGTTCTTCTAGTGATAAAGATATTTTGTGTCATGGTCGTATTTTGAGTGCTCTATCTGATAATATTTATAAAATATTTTGTCATACAAAAACTGCTTCGGAGTTATGGGACACTCTTGAACTAAAGTATGGTTCTGCTGAAAAGGGTTTAAGAAAATACTCTTGTGCAAGAATGATTTATTTTCAAATGGAAGATGGAAAACCTTTCTCTGACCAAGTTCATGAATTTGAAAATATTATTTATGATATGAAAATGAAAGAAATTATTTTGCCTGACATAATGTTTGTTAGTTTGTTAATTTCTAAATTGCCTCCTTCTTGATCTGAATTTGCAAGAAGCCTTAAGCATAAACCCGATCATTTCACTTTATCTGATTTATTGGTTACATTGCGAATTGAAGATAAACATCGTATTTCACAAAAGGATTCTAATAAAACCCCTTTTCAAGCTAAGGCTCATTTAGTGGAAAACGCTAATAAGCCTAAACAAAAAAATTTCAAAAAAATATGGTTTTTCCAATAATAATAAATTTGGTCAAAACTCTCATTTCTCCAAAAATAAAAACAAATCTTTTAATAACAACTACAAACCAAAGAGTAAAACTCAAGGAAATGAGTCCTTCTACTTTGTTTGTGGAAGAAACAATCATTTTGCTAAAGATTATTTTCGTCGTCGTCGTCAACCAAAAGATGTTACATCTGATCCCAAATCATCGTCTCAACTTCAAGCTAATGTTATTACCGTTATTGCTAGCTCGGATTCCCCATCTAACAGGTATCATGTCACTAGCCTAGAGTTAAATTTTATTTATAACTCAAATGATTGGTGGATTGACTCTAGAGCTAATGTTCATGTGTGTGTTGATAAAAAATTATTTTCTTCATATCAGGAATGTGGCACACGTACTGTAAGCATGGGGAATGAGAGCCTAGCACGCGTCATTGGTATAGGCCAAGTAGAATTAGAATTATCTTCAGGAAATTGTCTTGTTTTAGATGAAGTTTTTCATGTTTTTGAAGTTAGAAAAAATTTGATTAGTGTTGCTTTGTTAGTTCAACAAGGTTTTAAAATTGTTTTTGAATCTAATAGAGTTGTAATTTCTCGACATGGTTCTTTTGTTGGGAAATGATATATTTGTGATGGTTTATTTAAACTTAATATCATGTCTTCCTTTATTAATAAAAATTCTAGCATTTCTTCATCTTCTATTTCAAATGTTGAATGTTGTGACATTTGGCATGGTAGACTTGGACATGTTAACTTGAATTCTATTAAAAGAATGATGACACTTGATCTTATTCCTAAATCTTTTAATGAATTGAAACAAAAATGTGAAGTTTGTGTTCAAGCCAAACAACCTAGAAAATCTTTTCAAAATTCTGTCCAAAAGGAAACTTGTGTGCTTGAACTCATTCATAGTGATATATGTGATAGTAATGGTGTTATTACTCGTGGTGGAAAGAAATACTTTATTACCTTCATTGATGACTTCTCAAAATATTGCTATGTATACTTGATTATTCATAAAAGTGAGTTATTTGAAAAATTCAAGGTTTATAAAGCAGAAGTTGAAAATCAATTAGAAAAGAGTATTAAAATTCTTCGTTTTGATAGAGGAGGGGAATATTCTTCTAATGAAATGGGTGAATTTTTTGAAACACATGGCATAATTCATGAAGTCACTCCTCCCTATGCTCCTCAATCTAATGAAATTGCTGAAAGAAAAAATTGTACTTTATTAGACATGATAAACTCTATGCATATAAGTTCTGGTTTTCCTGATAATTTGTGGGGGGAAGCTTGGTTTACTGCATGTCACATTTTGAATAGAATTCCTTATAAAGATTCATATAAAACCCTTTATGAACTTTGGAAAAATAGAAAACCAAATTTGAAATATCTCAAAGTGTGGAGGTGTCTTGCAAATGTTAATATTCCTTTTAATAAGAAAAGAAAAATTGGTCCCAGGATGGTTGATTGTGTTTTTTTGGGATATTCTTTACATATTACTACTTATATATTTTTAGTTATTAATTCTTAAGTTGCTGAAATTTCTAATAATATAATGAATTAATCATCCATACACTACCAGTGTAAAGTTTTTTACACTGGCAACCAATCATATCTTTTAAAGTTGTTTATTTTATTATTATTTCATTAAATAAACAGCTGACATGACACTATTAAAAGATATGATTGGTTGCTAGTGTAAAAAAACTTTACACTGGCAGTGTATAGGTGATTAACTCTAATATAATTATGAAATCTAGAGATGTTGTTTTCTTTGAAGAATAAATTGTCTAAACTTGTTTATGATACTTCTAGCTCTTTTTTACCTTCTAGTAGTATTGTTAACAAGAATTTTGAACCTAGAATTAGTAAAAGAATTAGAAAAGCTAAAGATTTTGGTCTTGAATTTTATTCTTTTTTACTTGAAAATGATCCTAAAACTTACAGTGAAGCTATGAGATATGTTGATGCACCTTTTTGGAAAGAAGCTATTAATGATGAAATAGATTCTCTTAAAATCAATAAAACTTGGTTTTTGACTGACCTTCCTCCTGGTTGCAAGAGTATAGGTTGTAAATGGGTTTTTCGAAAAAAAATTAAGAACAGATGGCTCCGTAGATAAGTTTAAGGCAAGACTTGTTGTTATTGGTTATAAACAAGTAGAAGGTGTAGATTTCTTTGATACATATTCACCTATTTCAAAAATTACTACTATTAGAGTTTTAATTGCACTTGCATGTGTTTTTAATTTGGAAATTCATCAAATAGATGTAAAAACTGCCTTCTTAAATGGTGACTCGGAAGAAGAAATTTACATGAATCAACCTGAAGGTTTTATAGAAACTGGAATGGAAAATAAAGTTTGCAAGCTTGTTAAATCGTTGTATGGTTTAAAACAGGCTCCCAAACAATGGCATGATAAATTTGATCAAGTTGTTTCTTCATATGGATTTCAGTTTAATAATAGTGATAAATGTGTTTATGTAAAACAATTTGATGATAATTCATGTGTTATTTTATGTCTCTATGTGGATGATATTTTAATCTTTGGCAGTTATCTACATGTTATAAATGATGTGAAGTCTTTCTTGTCTAGTAATTTTGAAATGAAGGATCTTGGTCTTGTTGATGTTATTTTAGGTATTAAGTTGATTAAGAATCATGATGATATTGTTTTGACACAATCACATTATATTGAAAATTATTAAAGAAGTTTAATTATTTTGATGTGAAACCAGTTTCTACCCCATTTGCTTCTAGTATTAAATTGAAGAAAAATATTGGTGAAAGTGTCTCTCCTCTTAAATACTCTCAAATTATTGGTTCTGAAAGATAACAGACAAAAAGAGGAATATTATGAATGGATTTCTGTGTGTATTGATCATGCCAATCATTACATTATATACATGGTATATGTTGTATGGATAAGGACAAAACACAAAAAAACAATAATCCTAAAAATGTACATCACATAGAATTCTGGAATGATCTAATTATTTACAGCTTGTAAAACAATTTTCAGTTTGAGGAATGGTACTACGGGCCAAATTACTAGCTTCTTCTTCTTTTAGCCCCCACAAGCTGGAGGTGCAAAGATGTCAAGTAGCTCCAGCTTGGATAGATTGGCAGTAAATAGTCTAGGAGGAAGGGCTTTGGTAAACATGTCGGCCAATTGATTGGAGGAAGATACCGGTAATAATCGCATTAATCCTGCTTGGTTCTTTTCGCGAACCAGATGGCAGTCGATCTCCAAATGCTTTGTACGCTCATGAAAAACTGGATTTGCAGCAATCTGGAGAGCACTCTGATTGTCACAATAGAGAATAGCTTGTTTGGAGAAGGGAACTTTAAGATCGGTGAGTAGG